AACATGGTCCTTGATATACTAATCAGTTATATCAAAGAGGTTTTCGTTATATATACTGTTAATTGTACAAAAGGTTATCTTGTATTGTATTTGTGTAGTTTAATTGTTTCGGAAGGTCCTTTTTTCAACGATAACTAGCATAGCTTTTTAAGATAGTTTGTAATTGTTGAAGTGGATAATGGTTAAGTGTATGAGTTAAAGCACTTGCCGAGCATTAAGTTAGAAAAACACAATTCAGACTCAAAATATATTTTAGTTGTTTAAATAAATATTGAATATCAATGCAATAAAAAAAGAGTACCTTATTACATGGACAATTGATATTCTAATATTGCTAAACCTGACCTGTATACGGTGTTGTACAGCACAAAGAGGCTGAGAAAAAGGGGGAACCTAAAGTACCGATGCTGCTCCTGAACGGACGTCCCCTCGAAGATGTACAGCACGATGAGGATGAGACAAAGAGAGAAACTGACGTACCGATGCTGCTCCTGAACGGGCGTCCCCTCGATGATGTTGTCGAGCACGATGAGGATGAGACAAAGAGGGAAACTGACGTACCGATGCTGCTCCTGAACGGGCGTCCCCTCGATGATGATGTACAGCAGGAAGACGCTGAGACAAAGAGGGAAACTGACGTACCGATCCTGCTCCTGAACGGGCGTCCCCTCCAAGATGTTGTACAGCAGGAAGAGGCTGAGACAAAGAGGGTACCGATGCTGCTCCTGAACGGACGTCCCCTCGAAGATGTTGTTGAGCACGAAGAGGCTGAGACAAAAAGGGAAACTGACGTACCGATGCTGCTCCTGAACGGACGTCCCCTCGAGGATGTTGTACAGCAGCAGAAAAAGGCTGAGACAAAGAGGGAAACTGACGTACCGATGCTGCTCCTAAACGGGCGTCCCTTTGAAGATGTTGTACAGCAGCAGGAAGAGGCTGAGACAAAGAGGGAAACTGACGTACCGATGCTGCTCCTGAACGGGCGTCCCCTCGAAGATGTTGTTGAACACGAGGATGCTGAGACAAAGAGGGAAACTGACATACCGATGCTGCTCCTGAACGGGCGTCCCCTCGAAGATGTAGTACAGCAGAAAGAGGCTGAGACAAAGAGGGAAACTGACGTACCGATGCTGCTCCTGAACGGACGTCTCCTCGAAGATGTTGTTGAACACGAAGATGCTGAGACAAAGAGGGAAACTGACGTGCCGATGCTGCTCCTGAACGGACGTCCCCTCGAAGATGTTGTTGAGCACGAAGATGCTGAGACAAAGAGGGATACTGTCGTGCCGATACTGCTCCTGAACGGGCGTCCTCTCGAAGATGTTATACAGCACGAAGATGCTGATACAAAGAGGGAAACTGAAGTACCGATGCTGCTCCTAAACGGGCGTCCCCTTAAAGATGTTGTTGAGCACGAAGAGCCTGAG